CATGTGAAAACTGTGGCGTTATTCTAAAAATATGTATGTAGATCAGTCTTGAAGAAAAAGTTTCAGTAAACCTGATTAGCGCAATGAATTCGTGGTGATATTGCAAATCATCGCCAACTGAAAATATTTTACCATCATGGTAAATCCTGACAACTACATATTGATACACTCAGTGAAAGAACAAACATAAATGAGAGAATGATAAACAATAAGGAAAAAATCAATAATTGTAATATCAATAATAATGAATTAGGTAACACTGACTAAATAAAACACGCGATTTGACAATATTGTGTGTGTCTGAAACTAAAACATGAACTCAGTAAACGCTACACAGCTTTTCTTTCCCTCCAAAAGTAAAAGCTAGTGTGGCCGGTAATATTAAGTGTGCAAATTTTTAGAACTAGATTTTCCTTGACAAGTGTACACTTTCGTTTTATCAGAGTGGCGCCAGAAGTTGCCAATTTCTTATTAACGACGACATTTTCCCAAAACAGCCAAATAAACGCTGTAAAATATGTAAAATGGGTATTATTTTATTTTTCTGTATCTGTACATATAATTAGAATGTATTAGAATATATTTTGAATGCCATTCTTCTCCCTCTGGACTCCTAAAATACTAAAGGAAAATATGCCTATTTATCCCGTAACATGAAATACAAAAAAAAATCCACCATATTTGCAGAACTATTTATATCACACATATGCTTGGTAATAATACTATAGACCAGTGAATCAGAAAGGAACCGAGCTGAACAGAATTAAACCCATAGTAGTGCACGAACGCTGAGGGGTAAAAGGGAGTAACTGGCAACCGGGCGTAGTAGGGATGTTGTTGTTGTCAGAGTCTCTCCTGCCAACGTCATGGACCCACTCGACTTGGGACCTGAATTTATAAGAACTGATCAAGTTACTGATCTTTGGTCATTCTTACAGACGGTGGGTGGTTATTACTGGTCTCTTTAATGTGTCGTTGAGGGTTTTGTCAGTGGCTTTGTTATTCATTTCTGTCGTTGTAAGGGAGTGATTTCGCGATTTCTCCTCTCGCTCCTCCTCTCTTCTCAGATGAAAGCTCAGATTTATGGTTTGTGTTGACTTGTTTATCTATTTATTTTCCGTGTTGTCAGTACAATGATTTGATTTTACGAGTTGATCATGGTTTTCTGATTTTTTTAAAATGAAGTTTATATGTTTGGATTTTAACTGAGAATCATTTCATAAGACTGAGATGCATGCATGCAATCATTTGATTTAGAACTTAATTGTGTATATCAGGCCTCATAATGTGCCAAGACATAGTGTTTGTTAGTGGGCACCACTTGGTCCAGTAAATCTTTCGCAACCAAATTATGTAACACTTTGTTTTTATTGTATTCAATGTAAGTTTATATTTAAAATTTTAAAAAGCAATGGTATCAGTGTATAATTGAATGACAAGAAATTACTGTGACACCTGGATTTTAGGTGCTCTGCTGAAGGCCAGCAAACTTCCACTTCATGTGTTATGACAAGGCAGTGCTTGTCAACTGCCCAGGTAATGTATTGTGAAATAAGAAAGCCACACCTGTAATTAGGCTCTAGCAGAATGGTGAAGCTTTGTAGGCCTGTTCCAAAGCACTGATGGCACAAATGTAAAAAAAAAAATCAGGTATGAGTGACGTGTTGCTGGAAATTGACGGTCAGTTCTGGCCAAGCCGCCTTCAAAATATCCCTTAAAGCCAATTCTTCTCATATTACACACCCTGTTACTAAATTGAAATTGAATCTTTGCAATTAGGTGTATTCTAGCAGTATTGGACAAAGGTCTCATCACTGAGGTTTACAGAATTACAGAAATTATGAATTTCAGAAATACACCACATTCTTGTAATTCAATGGTCACCTTAAATTCAGTCAGATTTTTTCTCAACCAAATCATAATAACTGCTCCCAATCCCAAACTGAACAGCATGTCAGTATGCATGAAGAGTCAGTAAAATGGAAAAATCAGAGGCATGGAAAACTTATTATAACCCTGCTTTTGGCTGCATCACAGAAAAAGAGGAATTTGTCAAAAAAAAACAACTAAAGAAAGGGGATTAAATCTACATTTAAGTGACAATTTCTCCACAGTGAATACTGTATAGTGTCCACAGCATAGAGTGATCTTTATCACGCTTGACGAGAAGTCATCCTTGCATAAGGGCTAATATACCATGGCATGATAGGACATCATCCCAGCATGAATGAGTTCAGATGGAGTGATGTTAGATCTATAAGGTAAATATGTCAGTATGCATGAAGAATCAGCTGAATGGAAAAATCAGAGGCATGGGAGACTTATTACCCTGTTTTTGGCTGCATCACAAAAAAAAAACGATAATTTGTCAAAAAAATAAAGAAAGGGGTTTAAATCTACATTTAAGTGGCAATTTCTCCACAATGAATACTGTCCAATACTGCTAGAATACACTTCTAATTACAAAGATTCAATTTCAATTTAGTAACAGGGTGTGGTA